TTTTGGTAAGAACTTAAACTGGTTGCAAATACCTCAAACCCAGCCTTCAGCGCCAGTGCGCGGAGCCAGCGGCAGTGCAACAGCAAACTATTGACGGGTGAGCCAATTGTGAAGAAGTTAACAGAGTAGAATATGATCACTCTTGAAGCAAACGAGCACTGAATCGAGCGAACACATCGAAGCAAGCCTTCCTAAAATGCACTCTCTTTTCATTTGTCGTCAAAGATGAATTCGCGTCTAACTGGCAATTAAGCTTAGGCATTAAGCTCATCCAACTTCCTGATTGTTCATGTCATTTTCAGCCCAACGCCGTGCTGTAAAAGTAAGATTTTCTGGGAGGGGAGTGACGGATGCGTTCTATCAATCAGATTCCCATTTAAACCTGGACTCGCTTCCAATAATGCTCACTTCTGGCTTGCAAAATTCTAAGCGGTTCGGAAATTACTGCGGTAACCACTGACACAGTATGAGGTTCCAACATCTCTCTCAGAGCTTCGCTAAACTCTTTCGGTGACTTTCTCGATCGTGTGGAAAGCAAATTCCTTAAACACTGCGGTAGACCGAAGCACACATTTATTGGCATTTGTACTTAGGTTGTCATTCAAGTGGCAGACGATTCCAAAGAGTTTGCCTCAGGTGCAAATTTGTTGGCACTTTGGCCGCACATGGTAGACATCCTCAATCCTCATAACAATTAAGTCGCCTTTGACGAGAACTGCCTGCGACCAGAACACATCTTCTGGTGTTCAGTGACTTCAACGCAAAGTCGATAATGACAAAAATGCTGTGAGGGTGTTCAACATCAATATATGGTCCTCAGTTCAGTGCCTGCCTGTGATTACACCTTCAGCAGCTGGTACTCTAACGACATCGAAACGAACAGAGTGATCGACTACATGCTGACGCCAGATCAAGAGCTGTAGGCTGTTGCCACTGTCTAATTGCTTCCTTTTTGGCAGATGAAGTCAGACGGAGACGCGTCATCGTCAATGAGGTGTTGAGTCTTGTTTTGGAGAAGCTACACTCAATTCAAATGGATACTTGGAGCATCTGTACAGGTGTTAAAACAGTTTGTCCCTCTTAGGTACTTAGAAGCAAAAATGCAGTGACATAAGGCCATGAAATGTTGCTTTGCAAGCTTGACATTTGTATTTCGAGCTGTTACTAATCATAACTTGTGAAAGTAGTCATTTCTTCTGATTTCGTAGTTAATTGCGGGAACACAATAATGATTCTCCATGTCTAGGACAAAAGTTTGTGATGAGGATAATATTTTGCAGCTTTTGTCAAGCTTTCCATGGAATCAGACGAAATGACTTCCTCTGCCCATTTTCAACGTTACATCTGTATGAAATTAAGTATGAAAAATACGTTCTAACTGCGAGTATTTCAATCATACTGTAGAGTAGAATTACATGGTGTGGTGTCACTGTGAGTAAGAGTCTAGCTTAGAAATCTAGAGATACCAAGTTCGATTGCTGTGGATCTTTGCCTTTACAATGAATTCTCCTGAGCAATGAAATTACCTCGCAGTGCTTTCGGTCAGTAAGGTTTCGAACTCCGAATACCAAAGTTCTGGGTTGGAGGCGCGGTTAGAATCATACGCCTTCAAATCCATTTTTAACATAATAATAATGTACTAATGGCTGATAACTTGGAAATGGAGATCAGCGTCTCCTGAAGCAAAGAGTGCTGGAATTAACCCACAAAATATGCAAGATGGACTGTCCAGCGGTTAGAAACTTCCTTTTGCCTGTCACTTCCTCAGCATTACACCACGGAGCGCATAGGGCCCTTGCTTCTGTTTTCCTAGAGGCCGTTTAAATAGGTCACAATGTTCTAATTAGGTATATTAGGTATACTGGTATACTAGGCTCCATGGTATTCTCCTGCGGTGCATGGGTGCGAAACAGCACGACGTTCGTCCATTACTATGAATCTTTCCGGGAAGTAAATGGCAGACTTTCAATGCGTTGTGTTCTGTTATATATGGAAAATCTGTTTCAGCACAGTAATGCCAGCTGCATGTTGAATAACTTTACTCCTCTTCGTCTATACAACTGATGGCACCACGTTGTCTGTATTTTTTGATTAGCGAACGACTGGTCATATCCAGGTTTTTGTAGTTCCACTTCTGCGGCATTTGAGGCACGCCAGTCTGTTCTTCAATGAATGCTGAAAAATTATCATTACCTGCTGTTTTTAAGCTATGTTTACCTCGAAGCATGGCGATATCTTGCCGTAAGTCTCTCATGATTTCAGACCGTCCAGCTCCTTCGTTCAATTTCACGCCTCCTTCAATACGTTCCAACGCTTGCCTTGTGGCTTTGAGGGCTCGCTCCGCCTTCTGTCGTGCCACGCTTTCTCCCTGGCATTAAACAAAGCAACAGCATATGAAAAAGTTATCTGACTAATACCTGTAATTCTTCCTCGACCATCTTCCTCTCCTGAGATATTGCGTCGAGCGAATTAAGCAGCTTCTTTATGCGTTGGCAATAATATCGTCTTTCGTCCTCCATCAAAGCCGTGTGATGGAAGTTTTTGTCCAGCCTATACGTCTTATATTGACAGATTTCCAAACATGTGCACATCTGGCGCTTACTCTTTTTCTATCGCAAGTTTCTCTTTTACCAAGAAATCGACTTGAGCTTTCACCGCCTGTAGGTACGTTTGAAATTGTTCACCTGCCTTCACCAATTTGCAATTTTCTTCCTTTAATTTCATCTCTTCAGCCTCTCTTTTGGACAAAATTTGTTCATACGATTTCTTCTCCTCTTTTATTTCCTCAAAAGAGTTCTTCTTTTAAGGTATTCATGCATAATCAATTGTATGTAAAGTATATATATATATATATATACATAAAATTGGCGGCTAAAACTTCAAGGTAAAAATGGAAATTGCATTATTTTTCGAATGCGATTGCTTGCAAGAAACTTAGCCATCTTCAATGAATGATGTTTTATGAACGAGCATCACTTGGAAGCGTTTCCTGACCAGCGTCGGGAAAAATG